GTCGCTGTCCTGCCCCCTGCCCGGCGTGCCCAGGGCCGTGTTCGCCGCCGCGGAGGGTCGGGAGCACTACGAGACGCGGGTGACGGTGCTGGAGAACGGGCTGAGAGTCGCCTCCCAGAACAAGTTCGGGCAGTTCTGCACCGTGGGACGTGAGTAGCCGCGGGAGGGAGCTCCGGGCTGGTGTGATGAACCTGGTGCGTGTGCCTTAAGGTCTGAAGGGGCCAAGAGTCACACTGGTTTGTTCTCTCCCGACACCAGTTCTTGTGAATTCGGGGTCAAGACACGAAGCAAAATACCTCAGTGGCATCTCCCACTTCTTGGAAAAACTGGCATTCTCTGTGAGTATTGCCCTGCACTGCCCATTGGAAGGGCCTGAGCATCCAAAATCTGCACAGGGGAGTGAGGGAGAGCAGCCAAGGGCAGGGCAGTGCCCACAGGGCACTCTGGAGCTGTTTAATTAATGGTGACAGCATTCCTAGAATCCCAGACTGGTTTGAGTTGGAAGGACCTTAAAGATCATCTCATCCCACCCCCTGCCGTGGGCAGGGACACCTTCCACTAACCCAGGTTGCTCCAAGCCCCATCCAACCTGACCTGGAACATTTCCAGGGATGGAACAGCCACAGCTTCTCTGGGCAACCTGTGCCAGTGCCTCAGCACCCTCACAGGGAGGAATTCTTTCCCAATATCCAATCTAAATCCACTCTTTCAGTGTAAATCCATTTCCCCTTGTCCTGTCACTACATACCTTGTAAATAGTCTCTCTCCAGCTTTCCTGTAGTTTCCCTTCAGGCACTGAAAGGTCACAGTTTGGTCACCCCAGAGCCTTCTCCAGGCTGAACAACCCCAACTCTCTCAGCCTTTCCTCACAGGAGAGATGCTCCTTCCCTCTAATCATCCCTCTTAATTCCTAGCTAATTATTATGACTGTGATTACATTTTGAAGGTCTGTTGTGTTTTAATCTCTAGAGTCAGTGAGTATCAAAACACTTGTCTAAAAGAATATAGAAGTTGCTTATACTGGGCAAAACTGAAGGATTATAAAGTTATTGCTTTACTAATTAAAAACATTGGTATCTTTTTTTTTTTTTTTAGTCCACAGCTCAGTTTGGCAGCAAGGATGAAATTCTCCTCACCCTGGAGAAGCATGGGGGCATCTGTGACTGCCAGGCATCGAGGTGAGCTGCTCCTTCTGCTCTGCTGCAGCACTGACAGCACTTTGAGTTCCTCCTTTTGCTGTTGAGGGGCAGCAGAAATCCCAAAGCAGCAGAAATCCCTTTGTGGTGACTGCTGAGAAACTACAAAAGCAAACCTGAAAGGGTTATAAAAGTTTTGTTTCCTTTGCAAAGTGTTCAATGAGTCAAGCAGCTTTCTCTGTGATTTCCTGGTGCTGAAATGATAGTGAATGATGCCACAAGTGGCTCCTCAGTGCAGAACCTGTTTGTGTTGCAGGGACACCATCATGTATGCTGTGTCTGCTGATGCCAGAGGCCTGGACACTGTGGTCAACTTGCTGGCTGATGTCACCCTCCAGCCCAGGTTATCAGGTCAGGGAACATAATTCTCTGCCGCAAAAAGCTTTCCAGCACATGGATTGCTCTTAGAATTCAGAATTCCTCCCTAGAATGAGTTCATCCAGCAGTTACCTTGTAGCAGTTGGGTGTTTCTGTGGGGTTATCATCTCCTGCTTTCTCTCTTGTCACAGATGAGGAGATTGAGATGACCAGAACAGCCATAAAGTTTGAGCTGGAGGACCTGAATATGAGACCTGACCCTGAGCCTCTCCTGACCGAAATGATCCACGCGGTAACACACTGACAGTTCCTCCCTGGAGGCAGTTTCCTGCACAATTTCCCTTCCTCAGCTTTTGATCAATTCAGGGTTTACTTTTAGGCTGTTCTAACCCCAAATTTCTCTGTTACTCAATTAGATTTCAGTGGTGGGAGGGAGATCTGTCTCTCCACTATGAATCCAACATTCTACACACATGAAAGACTTTAGCCTAAGCTAGAATATCTCAGACTTACCTTTGTCCATCTGGGTGACAAGGTGTTGAGTTCCTCTGACATCAGTGACCTGATGCTCAGCCTTTTCCTCTCATACACATCCCAAACAGGTCTCCCCAATTCCAGACCAAAAGACAAGGTTTAGATGAGGGCTTTAGAGGGGTGAAGTGATATCTATCACTTCAATGTGTCTGTTTCCTTCCAGGCAGCCTTCAGAGACAACACAGTTGGACTGAACAGGTTCTGCCCTGTGGAGAACACTGACAAGATCGACCGGGACCTGCTGCACTCCTACCTGCGCAGCTACTACACCCCCGACAGGATGGTGCTGGCTGGGGTGGGGATTGAGCACGAGCAGCTGGTGGAGTGTGCCAGGAAACACCTGCTGGGAGTGCAGCCAGTGTGGGGCACTGGGCAGAGCAGAGGTGTGGACAGATCTGTGGCTCAGTACACAGGAGGTATCATCAAGGTAAGTGATGGAGGTGACATTGGTGCCTCTTGCTGTGTGTTGGAGGGGCAGGTTTGGAGTTGAGCTGCCCCAACCCTGTCACATTCTAGGCTGGATAAAGCCTTGAGCAATCTGGTCTGGTGAGAGGTGTCCCTGCCCAGGGCAGGGGGCTGGGATTACGTGATCTCTAAACTCCATCCCAACCCCTTAACATTCTATGATTTCTCTACAGGCTTTTGCTTTTCTAAAGTCACATACTGGTCATGAGTATGAACCAAAAGAGAGGCCGTGACAGATATTAATTGAGTGACACATTAATTATCAGGAACGTATCAAACTGGATACAGCAGCAGTGAAAATCTGTTTTGCTACTCTGTCTGCTCTTCCCACAGGTTGAAAAAGACATGTCAGATGTGAGCCTGGGCCCTACTCCCATCCCAGAGCTCACCCACATCATGATTGGGTTAGAAAGCTGCTCGTTTTTGGTAAGTATTAACCTAAAATCTCTTGGTTTGGGTGGCCTGTCCTTGTAGTATCCCAGACTCATTCCACAAACATTGGCACTGTTGCTGCTGCTGTAGGTACTGACAAGCAGCTTTTTCAGTGCCAGTTTGACTCAGGTACTGACCTTCCCATTCCCCTTGTGCCATGTTTCTCTTTTTCTCCCCTTTACTCACCTCAGAGCCCTGAGAGCTTTGCCAGTAGCTGACTGAGTTTCTTGTTGCAATCCAGGAAGAAGACTTCATTCCCTTTGCAGTGCTGAACATGATGATGGGAGGTGGTGGCTCTTTCTCAGCTGGAGGTCCTGGCAAGGGCATGTTCACCCGACTGTACCTCAATGTGCTCAACAGGTTGGTTTGCCTTCAAAGAGGTGGCAGAAACAATCTTCTCTAGCAAGTTCTTCTGGGAAAAATGAGAGCCAACACCTCCAGGTGCCCAGAAGGGCACTCACTGTCCCATGTTTTTTGTATACTCACAGGCACCACTGGATGTACAATGCAACCTCTTACCACCACAGCTACGAGGACACAGGGCTCCTGTGTATACATGCCAGTGCAGATCCAAAACAGGTACAGAGTCCTGTATTCAGGGACAGGTGTCCTTAAAATGTCACCTCATCACTCAGTAGCAAACAGTGACACTAACAGAAGCAGCACTGCCCTAATCTTCTTCCAATGATCTGTACTCCCTAGGTTCGGGAGATGGTGGAGATCATCACCAGAGAATTCATCCTCATGGCAGGAGCAGTGGGAGAGGTCAGCAGCACATTCGAACTTGCAGGCTATGCAGATGATCTTTGAGCTGAAATAATCCCTGGAATTACCCAAGGCTAGGTTGGACAGGGCTTGGAGCAACCTGGGTTAGTGGAAGGTGTCCCTACCCATGGCAGGGGGTGGAACTGGATGATCTTTAAGGTCCCTTCCAACCCAAACCACTCTGGGATTCTATGAATGCAAGCACTGGCCTTGCTAGAATGGATGTTTGTAGTTGGGTTTGTTACATTGCAGAAGTTCTTGAGCACCATTTGCATTTCCTGCTCATTCCCAGGTGGAACTGGAGCGAGCGAAGACGCAGCTCAAGTCTATGCTCATGATGAACCTCGAGTCTCGGCCTGTCATCTTTGAGGATGTGGGAAGGCAGGTCTTAGCAACAAACACAAGGAAACTACCTCACGAGCTCTGTGCCCTGATTGGTGAGTGGACAATGCTTTGCCTCACCCTGAGGGCACTGTAGGTACAGTCAGGGCAACTTGGAGCATGTTCTTGTAGCACAGATGAGTTGCCTGAGAAAGCCTGAGGGCATAAATCGTACAGAACTGCATTTCAAACTGATCTTGATTGCTTTCCAGCTAGCATAGGGTTTGTTTTTGTCAGAAAGAAGGAAAACCAGAAGCTTGGTGAAGGTCTAGAGTCGTGATTGGTTTTCTGAGTATCATCCTAACGCTGCTTCATGCTGTTTACAACATAGTTGTCACAGCTCTGCCTTCTTTTTGCCTGCAGGTGAGGTGAAACCTACTGATATCAAGAGGGTGGTCACTAAGATGCTCCACAAGAAACCAGCTGTGGCTGCCCTGGGGGACCTGACAGATCTGCCCTCCTATGAGCACATCCAGGCAGCACTTTCCAGCAGGGACGGGCGCCTGCCGCGGCAGTACCGGCTCTTCCGCTAAAGCAGCTCCTGCTGCCCAGCCCCACAGACTCCCTTCTTTTGTAACATGGTTTGGAGATCCTAACACTGCTGTACCACCCTGCCCACCCCAGATACACCCCCACCCATACTGTGCAACCATGGAGCAGCACTGGACTCTGAAGAGCTTGTTTGGGGAGCCCATCCTGGCTCTGGATGAGGTTTTATAGGTGCATACACCCTTCCAGCTCCTGCTGCCCAGCCCCACAGACTCCCTTCTTTTGTAACATGGTTTGGAGATCCTAACACTGCTGTACCACCCTGCCCACCCCAGATACACCCCCACCCATACTGTGCAACCATGGAGCAGCACTGGACTCTGAAGAGCTTGTTTGGGGAGCCCATCCTGGCTCTGGATGAGGTTTTATAGGTGCATACACCCTTCTCTTGGAGAGAAGAGAGTCATCACTACAGTCAAAGCATTGTCTCTGAGCTGTCACTGCTGTGTGCTGCCACCTCACCCTCCCAGCTGCAGCAGTGGGGCTGTCACACTGCTGTGCTCCTCCTAGGACAGTGGTGGCACCTCAAGAGCTTGGCTTGCACTTCTGGATACAGAGACTATTTATAGCTGTTACCAAGGTCAACAAAGATTTGCTCAAAGTCTTTGCTGTCCAAGTGAATTAGGAAAATAATAGTTATTATCCCTGTGAAGTTAGGCAAAAAGTTTCCTGCAATCCAAGTTTTGTTACAAATCATGGATCCATTTCATCAGTGTAATTTACTAGCTGTAGTAGCTACTAGGAGTCATGTCTGGAAACAACCTCATAATTGTGCTAGAAAGCAAAGCCATGGCATAACCAAGTTTCTGTGGAGTTCATCTGCATAGTACTGTGCTACATGGACACTTCCTTGAGAGGGAAAATGATCCTATTCTTCAGGCTTTTCACTCAGAGGTGAACTGTGCTACAGAATAAAAGGGTTTTTTTCCCTCCAGAGTTGACAAACAGTTATTAAAGGAGTTGCTGCTGCTGCACCTCAAACTCACACCTCATTTCCTCAGTGTCACTCAGATGAACTTAAGGCCTTGCAAAAGGAAGACACAACTGTCAGTCTCAGAGATGCCTCAGCTGAGAGTCAGAACAACAAATTGACATTTAGAGAGATGATCTTGACCGACACCACAGAAAGCCAAGTGCCAGGCACGTGACACACTGAAGAAATGGAGACTGAGAAGAGGAATGAAACATTTGATTTACATAATCCCCTAACAAATGGGTTTAAAACAGAAACAGCTGCATTGCAGCACTGCTCTGCTTGATGTGTACAGTAAGGGGCAACCAAAGTGGGAGCAGAGCACTGTGAGGCAGCTCTTACCTGCTTTACCCAATCCTTTCCTCATGCAACCAGAAGAAAATGTTGCATTGCTTCTTGTGGAGCTCATGGTCTGGAAATGCTGTTCAGCTGTTGTGTATGTTGGTAAGAAAAATAAAGAGACCTCTAAACAACTGCAGCAAGTAGTAAGAGTTCTGAAATTCATCAGCCAAGGGCTGGGTTTCTTCAGTTGGTAGGTGAAGTGTGCTTTGTTCAAGGCAAAGCTATCCTGCTTTTCCAGCTGAAGACAAGTGGCTCAGGTCACCCAAATGTGCATCACACAGAGAGCTCTAGTTGTGACAACAAAAAGAGCTGACTCTCAGTTAAGGTATTGCATTAATTTATCTTTATTCCTTTAAAAAGAAAGGAAATCCAAATACCTGATGGCTACAAACAGGTCAGTGCGATAACTGTACTGCAGAGCAGAGGTTGCATAGTTAGCAGCACTTCCTCCAAGGTGTTGTGTTCTTAGGTACTAAGGTGATTAATGATCCATCTGTGCCCATGAGGAGTGTTTAAGGATTAGCTGTACTTAACATTTTACCAGTGCCACACTGGTCCATGGAGTATGTTTAGCCTTAAGACACTACTTCAAAATTAGGAACTTGCTTACAGTTCACGATTTGGAAAAGTAAAACCAAAAGGAATTGAGTGTGACTGGAGGTAATGGAGCTGAGTGGCTGCCGTTGTGCCTCCCTGATCCACTCACTTGACATCACTTTGGTAAAGCATCACACAGTTCCTGTCCGTCCTCAGGACCCTGCTGAAGGCAGGGGGTGTTCTAGCAGCCATGGGAAGGGCAAGTGAGTCCAGGGAGGGATTGTTTCAAGCAGTCTCAGCAGCCAAATATGTGGCCTGAGGGGATGATCTTTACCCCCTTAGGAACAGAAGGCCTATAGAATGGTTATTGAAAGGCAATGTTTCTACACTTCGATGTACAGGAGTACATTCACACAGAGCTTGCTGTAGAGGACTCAAACAGCTCAGCTCAGGAGCACCATCCACGCACAGAACTGCCCAAGCTCATCAACTGGTCCCTGTCACTTGTTACACAGAACGCCACACACTTGGCTACAGAGGAGAACAAACCCAACCCCACACTGTATGTAAGATGATCTGATCAAAGCAGAGAGACAGACAAAGCGTCACCTTTCTGCAAGCTTTCCTTAGGTCCCCTCTGCCCTGGGTGATGCCAGTTTCAGCTCTGAGTCCTCCCAGATCCAAGGGCTGCACCCAGTGGCTTCCTAAAAATTGTTTAAAAGCTGTAATTGGTTAAAAATCAATTACAGCTTTGGGATGGATGTCTTGAATATCTGATTCCTTTTCTTCGGCAAAAGCACTTGAGCTACATGGATTAGCTCATGCAAATGAATCCAGGATGAGGTTTAAGACATTCTTCACCAGCCACAGCAACTGCCAGAGGTGCTTAAGGAAACAATTCCCTGCAGAGTTTGCCGTGGCCTGAAGTCCTCTCTCTGGGCACCTCTACCACGAGCACTGCAGAGCTCTCAGCTCAGAAGATGCTACATATGCTGCTGGATTTTTGGTCCTTTTGCTCCTGCCGTTTCTGCAGTTCCCTGGTGATCCTCCTCTTTATTCCAATCAAATACAGTTCTCGGTCAAACTGGCCTGCAGCCAGGGGAATGCTGCAACAGGAACACAAACCATCACACCAGGGATCAGTGCAGCCTTGTCTGCCTAACATTTCCCAAACAGTACATACAACACAGGCCAGAAACCTCATTTTTACTTTCTTAAGGCATTTCAGCTACTGAAATCAGCTACTGCTGATTGGGAGAAACAAAAGTTCTTCCACAGCAACAAGTGAAGGTTTTCACAACCACAGAATCAATCAGGTTGGAAAAGGCTTCCAAGACCATCAAGTCCAACCTACAATATACTGTGAAAAGCAGTGTAAAAGGCAAATGTGCTTTCAATTTAAGCATGAATATGCCTGAATTGTTTTATACAGAACTATAGGACATAGTTGTGACCCTGAACCAAACCCAACTTGTTTGAAAAGCTAAATTAGGTTGCTGTTAACTTGGTGGATTTATCCCCAGGGTCACTGGAGCTATGTGCAATCAGAGCAGCATAAAGAGGTACTAACTTGTCTTTGCCAGGCCTCAATTTGACACGAAACAAGGCAAACACAGGGCGATGGTCTGAGGTTCTGATGACAGGGCAGGAGGAGTATTTGACAGCCTGGATGTCGTCCTTGTACCGACTGCGGAACACGACTCGGTCCTGGAGGCACAGAGAGAGGGGAGGGATGGTAACTCCCCCTGCACACCCATCCACCCGCCCTGGGAAGCAGCACTGGTTCACAAGAGCCAAATCCATTCATTTATCACATTCCACTTAGTGAAATGAAGTGCCTTGGACAGGAATCCATTAATGGAGAGTGTGTGTCTGACCCCAAGAGCTGTGCTGTGCCCAGTTCTGAGAACAGGAGAGAATCCACCCAAAGAGGATGTCAGGCAGGGAAAATGAGGTTAAGAGCCTGTGCCAAACTCTCTTTGTGCTCACAGGTTCAACAATCCTTCCTTCCAAGCCAGTCCCACATGCCTTGTTGCCCTTAAGCAGCTGATGTCAGCACAGCTGAGTCCCCTTTGGTGCAGGTGGGAGGTTCAAGCCACCCTTACCGTGTAGGAAGGAGTTCTCTGTTTGGAAGTGGTGTCATAACTGTCCTTTCCTATGTCAAACTTGTAGGAAGGTCTGAAATGGATGTCAGCCTCTTGGAATCCTTTGAAAATAGACCCTGTAAGGGAAGGGGAGCACAGCATGAACAAATTCCTCCTTCCTGAGAACATTTCTGCATGGATTCAACCCTGCTTAGCTAACGCTGGCTGGAAACAACAGCCAGGTACATGCATGGCTGGAAAAACCTGGGGTTGGGCTCCAGAAAGGCTCAAGTTCTTATATAGTGAGGATAAAATGTAGCCAGTGGTTATTTATTCAGTTACCAATTCACCAAAGAACACCAGGTCCATGCACTTCCCTTTCCTGCTTGCAAATGCCCTGGACACAGGGACAGTGATTGCTCAGGTTGGAGAAGAGGCAGATGAAACAGCAGCAAATGCCTTGGGAGGTTAAACCAGGATAAAATGCTACAGCAAAAGGTGCCTGGACACATTGCCACTGTATGTGCCAACTGCTGACTTCCTTGGTTAGGGAATGTACCAAAAGAAAGCAGGAAAGGTCTCTGGGAAATGGGCATTTGGCTGTAGGGAGCTCTGGGTGTAGCTGTCTCTGCTCCTGGAGCAGATGGAGGAACCAGCTGTGCCTCACCCCGACTCATCTCATTGGTGAGCTGGTCATACACCAGCAGCTTGGACACATCTGTGTCAGGGTTCTGGTTCAGGATGGAATCCACAGTCTCACGATCCTTGTTCAGTCGGAAGTTGAAGTCACCAAACCAGAAAACTCCATCAAACCGAGTTGTGACATCACCTGCAAAACCAAACCACAAGTGTTCAGCATGTGCTGCTAAGTATGCTCAAGGAACAGCATAAATTCCTCCTTTTCACTCCCAGGAGATACAACCCTTGAGCATATTTTCTGCCTGTGACCAGCACAGAATGTGGTACTAAAAACTCAGTAGAAAACAGAACAGAACTTCTAAAAAACAGAGAAAAAGCTGAAAAAGAGACCAAACTATATGACCTAAACCCAATGTGAACACAAACCCCTAATGCTACATTGCAGATAAAGAGTAATTTCATCCTTGTAGAAACAGGACTTAATTATTTATCTACAGGCATCATGCTAGCAGCACAGTGTGAAGAAACAATAGTGGAACTGGGCAAACAATGCTCTGACCTGTGCACAGGCAAAGGGACACAATGTTCCTTCTCTTAGTTTTGAGGCAAAGTAATTTCTAATTGTCCCAGAAAACACTTGGGAAGTGAAACACATCTGTAATATTGGCAATAATTACAGCAAAATGATCACACTGCTGGAAAAACACATCACATAAAAATTCTTTTGTGAATTTTCTCTCTCCCATTTCAATTTTTTCTCTCAAATTCCTCCCCAAAATCATGCCCCACATAGAAAAAAAAAAAATCATGTGAATAATAACCACCCTCAGACAAGAAGACCTTTGGTACCTTGTTATACTGTCTCAAACTATCACTCTCACTCTCTCTTCCCTAGTGCAGCCTGAAAGGCAATGCCCAAACTGTCCCTTTGGGCTCCCACCCAGTCCATGGTTTGACACTTACTAGCACTGGATTGATATGGATTTGTGTCTGGAACATTCTTGGGAAGTGTAAGGGCTTGAATGGTTTTGTTGTAGTCCAGTCTCCTCTCGTTCACCTTGCTGTCCCCAGCTGAAAGACAGAAACTCCATTACTGCCAGCAAGAAATCCTTTCCATTCAATGACCATCACAACAGGAGCTGCCAAAGGATGTCAGAGATCTCCCACGACAGAAAGTGTGGAAATGGTGCAGAGTTCATTTCTGGTTTAGTAAACACAGTAAGTTTGTTACCAAACCATCCTAGTCCCTTATCCTTCTCAGCTCAGCAATCCTGAGCTTCAACCCCTCCTGCTTTTTCACCTCTGTACAGTTCTATCCCCTCCTCCCTCAAGCAGGACACTTCTAGCAAGATTGTACATGTCTCACATGTGAAGTGGGAGGTGATGAAGAGAAAGGAGGTCCCAAAAAACGTGAAGGAGATTCCCAGAGCTCCCTTGGTTTTGATCTGAGACACAATCCGAGTCGTCACTGTGGCACACTCCACTTCTGCAAGGGGAAGAACAAGCTGCTGTGACTGGGAAGCCTTTAGAGACAGTGAGCAGGGGAGTCAGGAGAGGCACAGCCCTGGAGAGAAGGACAGGACACCTGATGGCAGCAGCTCTCTCACCCACACACACCTGAGCAGAACCAGATGAGGTCCCTGCGGATGAAGACTGACATGTAGAGCACTCCATGTGCAGCAGAGTAGAGCATGACATAGTGAGGGCCCAGAGTCTCCTGCAGGCGAATCTCCCACTCTCTTCTGCAGGAAAGAACAACAGCTGGATCACACAGACAGTACAAGAGACAACAACCAGGAGAGGAAATCAGCATTGTGGAAACAGAGCAGCGAGTAAAGCAAAACCTTCACTGCACTGAGCTAAGGAGCACATGGCAGGACCAGCTCACAGCACCTTTGAGCTGTGCTAGGATGGAATCATCAAGACTTTTGCCATCAGCTGCCCTGACAAGAGGACCAAATTCTGTGTGCACAGAGAAGCTGTGGCTGCCACATCCCTGGAAGGGTCCAGGTCAGGTTAGATGGTGCTTGGAGCAACCTGGGCTAAGTGGAAGGTGTCCCTGCCCATGATGAGCTTCAAGGCCCTTTCCAACCCAAACCGCTCCATGATTCTATGACCTACAGACCCTTGGAACTCTTTCCTCTGAGCCCCATTTCCCATGGTGCTCATGCAATGGAACTGAGTCTTATTCAGTGGGTTGATGGAGACCTTTTCCAGACTAACTCAAACCAAAGTAATTAACTAACGATAAAAGAAGATGGTTCATTACATTGTTTTTGCTACCTGTCTGGACAGCCTTCTTGAACCCCAATGACATACATGTCCTGGGCATAGACAGGATCTGTTGGCAATAAGAAGTCATTCAGATTCAGTGGAAGTTCCTATTAAAAATACAAAAAAGAAAGAAAAGAAAAAAGATAAACCAGCAATGTTAGTTAGGCAAAGATTTACTAGGAAAGCACCTTCTAATTTGATGAAGGTGACAAATCAGGTTGATGAGGAACAGAAAAGCATCACCCCAGACCTTGCAGTAAAGCTGAGGTAACTTTGCCACTGCCAAAAGACTTCTAGGCACTCACCTTCCGGCCCTGCATGTTCCAGGTGGCCACAAAGATTCCAACACTCCGATCAGGGAAGTATCTGCTAAGTTCTTCTGCTCCCAGTAAGGCACCACTTGCCAGAATGCTGCCTTCCATATAGCTCCTGTGATCAGAACAGCCAGAAAAGAGCATCTGAGGACAGGGCACAGCAGCTGGAATAGTCATCTGTAACACCTAAAACTTGAATCAGTCAGGAATATACCTTTAAGAAAGCAACTTTTAGTGTGTATGTATTGTTTTGCTTGCCTGATGTTCCTTACAAAGCTCCAGTTCTTAGTTCATGGATTGTATGCAATAAAACAAAACTATGGTCATAAACTTGTCTTTCAAAGCCAGGACAGGAGTATGAGAGTGAACCTGATGCTGCTCAGGTTCTGTGATGAGAAGGCTGAAGCCACCCAAAGTTTTCAGCCCCAGAAAAACTGACCCCAGACACAGGATAAAGAGATCATTTGATAACCTGGCACAGGTTGCCCACGGAAGCTGTGGCTGCTCCATCCCTGGGAATGTTCCAGGCCAGGTTGGATGGGGCTTGGAGCCACCTGGGCTGGTGGAAGGTGTCCCTGCCCATAGCAGGGGTGGGACTAGATGATCTTCAAAGTCCTTCCAACCCAAACCATGTGATTCCATGATATTTGAGTATCTTGAAGCAGCTGAGTTTCCTTACAACAAAACCAGCTCCACCATTTCCAGTGCTCTGGCACCAAGGTGCTCCTAATCAAAGACTCAAGCTCACACTCTCCCTTCAATTCAGCTCATCAAATCCGCTTCAATTAGATGATTTATTGAGCCTGAGGTCTTAGAACATCCCACCTGAAGGACAACTGTGCCCCACACCTCTCCAAAGGATGTGCTCTTTGCAGGAGGAGGAGGTGTTGGCACAAGGTCTGTGTGTTGAATAAGCATTTTTAATCTCGCTTAAGCTCTGCAGATAATGATGACAGCACAAAGTGAGGGAATGCTGGGCAGTCACCACCCAGCCCCAGCAGCTTTAGGCAGCAAAGTGAAGGAAAACTCCTCAAGGCAATCAAGTAACAATCCACATTTGGGGCTTTTGTCCCAGTTAGTAACACTCTGGTTTCTCTCAGAATTATTCCCCCCTCTACCACTGACTCCTACCCTTTAAATCAATGATTAGATTCCTTCCTCCTGGAAAAGCTGAGGCAGAGAAGCTCCTGTGGGACACTGGACAGTACTGAGACCTTGCCAGCACAGGATTTGATCCTGCCAGAAGCCAAATGAGTGCAGCATGTGCAGAGAACCCTCAGCACCTTACAGAGCTGTGACATCACAGCAGGTACAGCATGACAGTTTCAAGCTAAAATATTTAGGTGTTTTTCTTGCCATTTACCATTTCAGTTCAAACCTAATGTACTTTCAGATTTAAAAACCAATAGTTTTCCTAACTGCTGGTACAAACAGTCTGTTATGTTTCCAAACAGAATATGTAAATATTACAAGGAAACTGACAGCAAATTAAACATAGCCATGAAAATATCTGACTAAAAGGAGTAAGTACAGAGTATTTGTAGCAATATCATAGAATCATGGAATTGTAGGGGTTGGAATGGAGCTTGGAGATCATCCAGCCCCATCCCCCTGCCCTGGGGAGGGAAACCTCCCACCAGAGCAGGTTGCTCAAGGCTTTATCCAACCTGGAATGAACAGTGCCAGGGTTGGGGCAGCCACAGCCTCCCTGGGCAACCTGTGCCAGTGTCTCACACCCTCACAGGGAAAAACCTTCTTAATATCTAACCTAAACTTCTCCTCCTTCAATGTGCACCCATAGGAGCACTACAGCTCCTAACGAAGAGTCCCTCTCCCCCTTAATCTTCAACCTGTTTCCAGCCTCACAGCAGGTTCAGTAGCTAAATAACACAGGATGAGTTTCGTGCTTTATGGAGCGATCAGAAATTCCCTGCCCACGCCCAGTGGGATTTTACTCCCCCAAACATCACCAGGAGAAGCCTTGGGCCATACCTGCTCCGAACATCCTTGGCTTGAATGGGAGTGAGCAGGCTGAAGGTGGATTTCATGGAGTCTGTGGAGCAGCTGTCGTAGCCCATGCCGCTGCCATGCAGCCTGGTGCTCACCCTCCCAGACTTGTGCTGAGAATAATGTCGGTAATCCACACAATCTGAGTCAATCCTATTAGCTGTCCTCAGGGTGGGAGAGGCCACGTGGAGCTCCATGGGGGGCAGGGGCCGAGCTGGCATGATTTGGGACAGCCTGGGCTTGCCACCCGCGAACGCTTTGCCCCGCAGAAGTCCCCCAAAGGCACTGGAGATCTCAGAGGCTCTTTTGCCCAGGTCAGAGGTGTTTCCTCTGCTCTTCCCCACAATTTCCGAGGTGTCTGGGGAGCTGTGAGAGGAGTTCTGCTGGCAGCAGGGCTGGCAGGGGCTTGCCCTGCTCCTGGTGGGAGGGCTGGGGGATGCTTCCTGCAGGGAACCATTGGAGGAACTCAACTCGCTGGGATCAGTCAGACTTTCCTGGCTCGTTCGGAACCTCCTCCACCTCCTCCAGCTCTTCTCATCCAGGGATGCAGCTCGTTCCAGCCGCGGCTTCGGAGGAGGCCTCAGAGTGATCGACTTCATTTTCATATTGGCTTTGAGTTCTTCTGGTAGAAGCTTTAAGGTCTCACTCACAGGGGTGGCTGCACTCAGAGGACCTTCACTGGGAAGTCTCCCATTGCCACCAACCTCCTTTTTGGCTGCTTTTCCAGCTTTTTTAGCCTGCAGGTCCTGGACTGCTCCACCCTCTGTGCTCCGAGTAACACACGCCCTGGAGTGCTGTGGAAATCCATTTGGAGTGCTCATCCTCCCCCAAGTGCCAGCTAGGGATGCTGCTCCAAGGTGAGAAGTTCCTCACAGCATATTTCCTTCCCGTTATCACCCCGTGGTGCTCACAGGGCTCTAACTAAGCCAGCAGGACATGGGAATTGCAGGCAGCTCAGTCTTTAGCTGGGAATGAAGGGCAGGTGTGTGTGGAGGCAGAGGCATTGTCTGCAAGATTCCATACGTGGGATACCTGGATTTCCCCAAGAGAAACATGTGGGAATGAAAAGTTATTGAGCTGCAAAGTAAGCTCTTTAATCATAGAATTTTAGGGGTTGGAATGGAGCTTGGAGATCATTCAGTGCTAACTCCTTGCCCTGGGCAAGGGACAACCTCCCACCAGAACAGGTTGCTCAAGGTTCATCCAACCTGGAATGAACACTGCCAGGGTTGGGGCAGCCAAAGGCTCCCTGGACAACCTGTGCCAGTGTCTCACCCCCTTCAGAAATCATCTCCTCACTGACCTCCTCTAGCACAACTCAAACCTTAACGTGACCTTGTTAGAAAACCACAGCTATTTCCTTTCCTGCTGTTTGGGAGCAGAGGACTGAGCTCCTCACTGCTGTAGGCAGTGTAGGCTGAGCACGCAGCTCTGTGTGTCCTCTTAGCATTGAAAGGCAATTCGAACCGCACACAAATCACAGCTCCTTCCCTTTGCTGTACACACACAGCATCACCAGCACGACCAGCGCTGCCGTGTGACAGAGCCAGGAAATTTCCAGTCATCTCACGGCCGGGAAATCGCTGCCGCCTTGTCTTGCTTTGCCCTAAGCCCCAGAAAAAAACCCAACAAAACCCGAGTAGAGGGTTTAGGGGTATTGGAAACAGAGCTCAGAGCAAATCCCGAGTTGGGGGGGTGGAGGGAAGCGCTTTATCATTCTGCGGCTATGGCAAACCAACCTCACCCGGCAGCGGCACCTGGAAACGAACGCGTCACGGGGACAAAGCCGCGAGGGTTGGCGCGAGGGTTGGACCAGGACCAGGACACCAGAACCAGAAGCAGGAGGAGGTCCCATCCCCATCCCCATCCCGATCCCCGTCGGCAGAGCT